TTTTGGAATTCGTTTCCAGCAATAGAGATTATGGAAACACAGTAGCTTCAATATACTTCGATCTAAGAAAGGCCTTTGACAAAGTCCCCCATAAAAGACTACTAATAAAGCTAAAAAGTCATGGAATTAGGCCACCCCTTCACGATTTTCTTAAATCCTATCTTCCAGACCGATACCAGGTGGTGCAAATTCGAAGCGTAGTCTCAGAACAATTCCCTATTACCAGTGGAGTACCTCAAGGCACTATCCTAGGCCCCCTTCTATTTCTTATTTATATTCACGACTTATCGTCCATATCTGTCTCAGCTAAGACGTTTTTGTATGCGGACGACCTTAAAATTGCATATGCATATAACGGGAATACAGTAGCCAATATTCATAGAACAATTGAAACTGATCTCAGAAAACTCAGCGAATGCAGTAGTGAGTGGCAGATGCCCTTTTCACCCGAAAAATGCCATCTGATATTGTTGTATCCAGCTGGTCAACGCTTGGAATTCTCCACGCCCTCCTCTCAAGTGCTTCCACATTTGGCTCCTGTTGACATTCCCCTTCCCCTTTTGTAACCTTTTTTGAGCGCGATCGGCGTTCTTTTAATTAACTAGTCTTGTATTCTGACCTTGAGCTGGTATTTCGATCTGCTCGAACAATAACAAAGGAATTCTTTGTCCAGGGTATCCGCTGTTGAGGTTTGTACGTTTTTTCATTATTACTTCATTCTATCAATAGAACCGTATAAACACCGAAATCTGTTTTGGCTTATACGCGTCAATTTGTCAGCAAAGAATTCCACAGTACTCAACATCCTACCAGAAATTGGAGGAAATTACTTTCATCAAATGCAGACGCGTTCCATGAAGAATGAATCGGACGGTACGCAACAGTCTCTCGGACTAGACAAACCAGGTGCCTTCGAAGGACAAGGAGAGCTGAAGAAAGACGTCCAGTCCGGCTCTTGTAAGAACGTTTCTAGTAGTAGTCGTAGCTCTAGTAAAACAGTTAAAGCTTTAAAAATAGCCGAAATAGAAGAAAGGCGAGTTAAACGTGAGGTCAAACTCCAAGGGGCTATTTTTGACGCAGAAAAAAGGACAGAGCTAGCAAGGATAGAGGAAGGGACCGATGAAGATATGTCCGATGACGACCGTCAACCCGTGGATTCCGTCGCGCATGTCTCAGGATATTTGAAACAATGCACATTGGATGAAATTTCTCCTGAAGAGAGTAATCATTGCCAACGTGAGAATGTTGATATGCCCAAAGCAAGCGCAAGGAGCCTGCCAGCTGCCAGTTTAGAACTGCCCAAGGTTGAGTTGTCCTGGTTTGACGGGAACCCAGTTCATTATTGGAAGTTTATACGACAGTTTGAAGTGTACGTAGAGAGCAAAGTTGAAGATGCTGGACAGAGGCCGCTGTACTTGATTCACTATTGCAGAGGTGATGCGAGAGCGGCCATAGAAGAATGCGTAATGCTTCCCTCACCTTCGGCTTATTCAAAAGCACGGGAAATATTGAGCAGCTTATTTGGCCAGCCACATGTAGTGGCTAATGCTCTTCTGGACGGTGTTTTCAGACAGGCACGCCAAGTTAATCAGACTGCGAAGGCACTTTCAGATTTGTGCATAAAAATGAGAAGTTGTGAAATAGCGCTCACGCAAATGAACTACGTTTCCGACCTACAATCGCTGAATGTCGTAGAGCGAATAGTGCGCTGTTTGCCGTTTTTTATGCAAATTCAATGGGCTGAAGTTGCTGATAAAAATATCTATGAATGGTAGAGATCCGGATTTTGCAGACCTCACGGAATTCGTAAATACTCGAGCTAGGATAGCAAGAAGTCGTTTCGGACAAATATCTCGAGATGGGGATGGCAAGCGCTCTCAACAGCCATTTACTGCCACGGCCTAACATCAAAAACGGGAGAACCCTAACAATTTTGCCATTTCGAGTGTCGAACCAGATCAACGGTCATGTTACATATGTTCTAATGCACATGAAGTGGCAAATTGCCCACGTTTAATTGCAATGGGTGTCGCAGATCGATGGAATTGTCTGCGGCAACACAAAGCGTGTTTTGTTTGTCTTGGTAATACGCATTTTGCCAAGGTGTGCAGTTCCAGAGAACTTTGCGGTCATTCCGGGTGCAAAAAACGACATCATACGCTTTTGCATGTAATATCGTCGGAAAATAATCAACAAACATTACATGATGAAGGGCTTTGTGCCCTGACTGGAATTACGCATGTACCATCACGACTG